TTCAATTTGACATGACACCAATGTATTAATCTTCCATCTTTGACATTTCGTCCAAAAAAAAAAAAAAACTGATTTTAATTGAGCGACTGAATCTGATTAAAAAATGAACTTCTGTCGATCAAATCAAGATGACAAACTTGAAACATAAAGTTCAAATATGTAGCACCTTAGTTGATGGCATTTGTCTATGCAACTAGTACTCAAGGAACTATAGAACTAAATATATAGAGATCGAGGAAGTCGCAAGGATGAGAGCCCTTTTAAGGACCTTGATTCTGATTAAAATGTCAAGCCAAGAGCCTATGAAAGTTAGGACCAAACCATACCGAACCGCTTTACTCACCAACTATCGAGCTCAGCTCGAGCCACATGACGAGCCAGCTGGGGCACACAAATGGGGTGAGATCATGAGCTGTCTCGCTTCAAAAAATATAAAAATCCCAACTCAGCTTATCCTATAACTTGCTTCCGAAGTGATCAAGTCATCAAAACCATTAAGCCTGACATTCTTATCTTGTACCCATGGACCGTGCAAAAGTAAGTTATCCAACACATAGACGTACAATTATATACTAAAATATCTTCTGGCTTGACCCTAGTATCGGCCATCTCTGTGTCCCATATAATGAACACAAGCCACTTCTGTGCACACCACAAACCCCATTTTATCTAAACTGTAAAGCTGCATGGGTCACAGAGATATGTGTGTGAGTTAAGGGCCACGTACAATACACTATTCTGTCTGTGAACCTTTCTCCTTTCATTCTAAGCCAATTTTCGTACAATGTTATGCACGGTGCCAAATGGTCCAACATCATACTCAAAATAATTTAATAAATGTTTGAGCCCCTTTTGTTTATGTAAAAATAAGTTTTGTGATAGTAATGTTCGAAGAAAACGTGATTTAAAAATAGAAATATAATTTGAATTTACATGCAAAATTATTTTATGAAAAGAATATGTTGTAGAAAATGAGTTTTTTGTGAACGTGGCTCAAACATGATAGAATTCGTCAATTTTTTAGACTTCATTTGGCCAAAATCTAGATAGTGCCTTGTGACCTTTAAGTGTGCATACATACATATATACATATTTAGTAATTTGGAGTGCATAATTTCAAAAGGGAAACAAGTTAAATTTAATTGATTATATTGTTTAATATTGTGCATAGATGTTTTAAATTTATTAAGGCATTTTTTTTCATTTTATCAAATTACTTTAGCAGTACATCATAAATATTTCTTTATTTATTTTGTTTTGTAATAATATGTAGCTTTATGCATGCCTCACAATTAAATTAAGCATTTAAAACACATACATTCCTCTCTCTTTTTTTTCTTTTTTTTTTAACACGTAAAAAATTCATATTATAATAACCTCGCCCTTGTTTGAACCCCATCTTTTGAAAAGAAATCATTCTTGAACAGTGCTTAGACCACATTTCAACCACACATTTTTCAATAAAATAATATTATACGTAAATCCAAAAAAAATTCTTATTTTTAACCACATATTTTTCATCAATACACTATTCAAAAATGCATTTCTTTTACAAAAATGGGACTCGAACAAGGGCGATCATAACAAAACTAAGGTAATAAATATAATTTTTTTTTAGCAATAAAACGAGCTTAATCATTAATCAAATTCAAACAACTATTCTTATAGTAAAGAAATAAAACTTTTGTGTTTTGACCACCAATTACCAATGCATGGAAAGTAAACTTCATTTGGTATTAACAATAGTTGTTTATTTGAAAATTTAAACAACTAAGTGCTCAATTGGGGGCATAACCTACACTATAAAACAAAATCTTGCTTCATTCCATGCAGGAATTAAAATTAGTTGATATTACCTATTGAATTATTTGCTAATTAATTAATTAATTAATTAATGGGGTAAACTAATCATCATGCCTGTAAGGTAGTCAAATCCTCAAAAGTAGGCCCTTTAATCTTTGCTATTGGAGGACAAAACCCTAGTTTTATCACTTTCATTAAAGCCTCCATACTTAAAAGCAACAAATCTTCTTGTACACAACAGGTAATCTTAAATAATCTCTTAATTAATTAATTATTCTAAATCATACAAGACGTGGTTGGATCATTGGATGACATTTTGGTACGTGGAATTCCTCATTTAACACATAATTAATTCTTAATGTACACTTAATGCTAGCTGTCGATTCTTATGCTTCGATAAACTTCCATAACTTTTATCACATGCTTGCCACTTTCCCTTTTTGATTCTTGCATATATAAAACTGATATTTTGGTATACGTGTTGATCTATCTCGATGGCCATTGGTAATTTTCATTTAAAGCGATACCCTCTTATAATATATTTTGTTAGGTGAATTAGATAGGATCGAGAGGCATTAATAAGAAAATAAAGTTAGAATTTTGTTCATTATATACTAATAATAATGCATACCGAATATATATTTTTATCTACGAAACATTCCTTAAATATAAATAGAATTTGTTTCTCATGAAAAAATTTAAGACGAGAAGGTTTTTATAACTTGGGTTATTAAGATTTGAATTTACGACAATTACATGCTCTGAGACCGTAGGAAAAAACATGATTTATACTCTCCCTGTCCCAATTTTATAGGCTTGTTTCGTTTTTCATACGAATTAAGAAATCTTCTTTAATGTCATTGAAAAATTAATTTTTGTCAATATCTTTTCTGATTTACCCTTATTTAATTTTCAGTACGTAGCAAATTATTATTGAAATTAGTAAAGAATTTGAATGATTTAATTTGAAGAAGAAGAAATGAGAGTTGTTCCATTTTTCCAAGAAATGAAAAATGTGTGTATTTGGATAATTTCAAAAAGTTGGCATATTAAATGGGGAAAATTAAATAAGGGTAGCTGGTAAAGGAACAAAATAAAATATTCTAAATTAGGAAACAAGGATATATATATGTTTGGAAAAAAAAATAATAATCTATATAATTGGGACGGATGGAATATAACAAGTCACGTGATAAGAGCTGACAAAAACAAATGCTGGGTTGCATAATATGAAATTGTACTTTCTTAATACTTCTATGTGAAGAAATATATACTCAAAGATATTAAAAACAGTGGATATATTCAGTTGTATGCCACGTTTCTTGGTGGTCCTAAATTCTACACCAATCTCAGTAATGTTGGTTGTCTAGTAAAGTGTTTTGCAAATTTTTAAATGTTTTCATTACATTGCTTTCCTAAAACGCAGTTTACTTTTACTACTGACTTTTGCGAAAGCCGTATTTTTTTTCACTTTTTTTTTCCTTACTTTTTTCTGAGAACACTACTTTGACTAATTTTGATTCGATTAAGTAAAAGAGTTTCGAGTGAAATTCTTCTCTAGATACAATAAAATTATAATAAATATATTGCAGTCTATACTAACAAAATTTAGCCTTGTTTGGTGGTCATTATTTCCTGTTTAAAGAATTTTGAATAGTATTTTTTAGAAGGACGTGTGATTAAAAAGTAACAAAAAAGTTTTAAATTTACGTACATAATATTTTATTATATAAATGTGTAATTAAAAATGATCCTCCAAAAAAAAATAGAATTTTAAAAGAATGAGAATCAAATAGGACTTAGTTTTAGAAGCGAAATTACGTATTTTTATGGTGGAGCGGTGGTGGTGACAACGGCAACAAGAGTTTATTTGGGAGAGGCAAAGATGATGATGTTTTCATTTTAATTTGTCTTCTTTCTACTTGACGTAACAAAATAGTGAATCGATATGTCTGGTAACTGGTGATTACAAAGAACGACAATTACAATTCGACTACCAAATAAGCAATATCCGTTAGTATGTAAGCGTCACAAAATATTGTGGAGCATTGAAATTTTGAAGTAAATTGAAACATATATCATAATACTCCCACCAAAACCAATTTAAGCAAACCAATTATTCTTGGACAAAAGTTTTTCACGATGTGTGTGATCACATCTCATAATAAGTAGAGCTGTTTATCCATTCAGAAATTTGGTAAGAGGATGATATTATCCTTAAAGTTTCAGTCTAGCAATAGATGGAGAATAATTCAAGCACCAATAGGCTCAGTAGCTTGCTTAAGCCATTCCATCTCAGTTGTATTCAGGTACGGTGCAAGGATTTCCCTGCACTTGGAATTGTAATTATTCAACCATTCAATTTCTTCAGCAACGAGAAGGCTCTCATCAATCAACTTCCTTTGATATGGTGCCTGCAAGTGGAGAAATAGTGTAAAAGCGAATGCGCCAGAGTACAGAGTACTTCTATCTACTGAACAAAGCCATGATTTACAACTGAAAGGAATATCGTGGAACGAGGACTCAAAATTCTTCTCTCTTCAGGATTTGAGCGTAAAATCTCATGGCCTAATATGTGTCGTATGTACTCTATATGGTAATGGTAACTTCGAATACTTTCTTTTCTCGTGTGGAGTAAAAAATAATTCCGTTTATCTACTACTATACATGGTTATTGTAGATTAATATCAACACACCTACATGATAAGTTGAGCTTAGCAAGGACATGAAACCCTCTATTTGAGGACAAGACAAATGTAAGAGCAGCATCTGAAATTTTGTGAAGAACTATCCAATGTGCACGCTAATCATATAAATGCCGGTACATAAAAAGACGACAGATGATGAAGTTGAATGCTTACCCATGTTATATGCTCAAATGACAAATAGCCTTTGCCACCAAAATTGAACTTTGTATCAGCCTCCTTTACTATGAGCACATTTTCCAATCTTATACCAAAGTTACCATCCTCATAATAACCAGGTTCTGGAAAATGAATATTGAATCTCCAGTCAGGGAAAAGGAAGAAAGAAAAATGGTCAATTGTGGATAAACAAATATCAGTAGGATCTTAATACAGCCAAATGCATGTATCATTGGATGAATGATGGTTGAGTATTACAGGGACATATTGAAAACCATTTAGATAACATGTCCAAACTTCCAAGCCCAACAATAAATTTGCAAGTAAGGTATGACCACTCTCATGGTAGAATAATAAAATTGCATCTAATTTTCTCTCTCATAACTGAAATTTAAAATTTTGTTTCTATAAAAATAAAGAAGAACAATAGACATACTGATCGGGTTTCTTTTGACATTGCATAAAAGTTAAAGCATTGTTGTCTCCAATTAAAGGTATATAGACAACATCCTAACCTTCTATCGAAAAAGTCGCGCCTTGCATGATATTTTTTCTTAATTGCTTCTCATAAAAATGCTATAATAAAACATATAATATGAACTGGACACATAAATCAAATCAGAGGAGTTACAAAATTGGATACATACCATCTGTAACAGTCATTGAAGGCTGTAATGGTATTTTCTGAGCAGGTGGTCTGAAACTAATTTGATGAGGTCCTAAAAAAAGCAAAAGTTAGGAAAATTATCAACTGCTACCAGATTCGATTGTAAAATTGATGTCCCATAGGTTAATAATCCCTAGTACCTAATGAAATCTTTAGGTAAAATTGATGTTTTCATTTTCTTTGGCAATATTTTTGAACCTCGATAAATAATTGACTTTTACATAATAGTGAGCATTCATTATTGGATCAAGCACAGACTTCAGCACATGGAATAAGTTGATTTTCAAACACAAGAAGCTTGAACAGTCAATAGTAAATACTTCCCAAAGATAAAATTAAGAACTAGTTCATATTACTATGAATTTGGTCTTATTTTTCTATAATAGAACATATAACCAAAGAACGTTGTTACGGTGTGTATAGACACGATATTTCCTTAAAATTTATAAATGTCAACCTTGTAGGTCAGAGTGTAAGCAAATATCATTGCACTTCAAATTCATAGTTTCTAAATCCCAAACTATCATTATCCTTCTTTTTGAATAGGTTCAAAATATAGTTAAAAGGACTGCTACAAAGAAAATTTTTGGCAAATGAAACAGGAGGAAAAAAATTTATTTTACCTTAAATGAAAAATGTAATTTATCCTTTTTTTTTTTAAAAAAAAAAATGGACCATCCATAACTATTACTTATGAGAAAGTCAATCATGCGTCTAAAATCAATATATAACAAGTATCGCACCGCTTACCTTCGTGAACATTTAGGTAAGACCCAATTCCATGACCAGTACCATGTCTGTAGTCAAGACCATCCTTCCACAAAGGGCACCGTGCAAGAATATCGAGAGTTTGCCCTGAAAATAGCAATTTTCGGAAAAAAGACAAAGAACAAGTTATATTAGCCAAATCTTCACCTAGTTCAAACTATATCAGACTGAATTTCTTTTGTGGGATTGTTCAATTCAAGCAAACCAGTCCAAAACTCTAAAGCCAATAGGAAACATTTTAAGACTACAAAACTGTATGAATTATATTAGAATAAAAAATCAATCTTTACCGGTGGTTCCATTAGGAAACCGAG